TGGTTGGCGTTGTCGCTAAGCCGCATAGTTCGGTCGCCATGCAGAACACGGGAAAATAGGCGATAGCCATATCTTGCGCAATGTGCTGACATTCATTCCCAAAATTTGTAAGGAGGACAATTAAGCGGCCATTCATTAAGTGAACAAGATCCCTCACCATGCAAATTCTTTTGTTTAAAAAAAGCCCTAAATTTACATCCGCTATACCTTCGTGGTCACAAAATGCCTCATTTTCGACAAGCACCATTACACTACAGCGTGGTGGCACTGTGACATCATCAACAACGCGCAGGGCAGTAAGGGGTCACTTTTCCGATTCCTCCACCGACATAGCTTGTTCAATCAAAAACATTACATTGGATCTGCACAGATTAATTATGGCTCCATTGGCTGGCAGAAAATCCAGTCCTATTATAGGCTCCCTTGAACAGTCCGGCAGTACGATGAAGTCAGCAACGTAAGTAAAGCCTCTTATTTCGAGCCTTGAGGTGCATCTGCCAAGCGGCATAATAGTGTGGCCACCTGCCGTGCGTATCTGTGCCCCACTCCATTTCGTCACACACTTTTTCAGTTTCTTTGCCGATTTGCGACTCATTACCGAATAATCAGCACCAGTGTCAACTATAACATTCAGCTCATATTTGTCTATTTTTAACCGCGAATCTGAAGTAATCTTCGCACTGCCGCACGGGTTGTCTGTCTGTCTCTGTAAACATAACAGCGTCACCTTGAAACCGTGATGGAGGATCTTCACAACTGTAGTTATCAGCGCCCTCATCTCCACAGGTCGCTTGCTTCAGTTTTCTAAGTGTGGGCTTGTAGAACAGTGCCCAGGCCGCCCGGAAGCACGTAGGCTGGGTGATCGGTAACGCCTGGGCAACGGGGATAGTTAGTATGACGCACCAATTACCAGCATGTGGGGTGCAGTGCAATTAATGCGGCTGATGTAGAGCGTGTAGCCAGTTCCCAACCCGTCAACTAAGGAAGCTGATCGGTTCCGCGAAGGCAAACGCCAAAGACCCGAGCGCGGGAAAGAAAGGAGACTTCTTCGTTATCACAGTTCACAAGCGGAGCAGTCAAGGTCGCCCCCGCTCGGGATTAGAAGGGGAAAGCTTGCTCGGAAAAGCGTCTGGCAAGAGGCAGGTCAGGCGCCACCGTCTGAGTTTAAGCCATTGTTGGCATGCACGCGTGTCATTGAGAATTACGCGGGGACGCGACCACTTGGCTGACCGAGACATAGTGGCGGCAGGGAAACGACCATAATTTCCCCCGCTGTTGTTAGGATGTCGGGGCGCCTCGCTGTCGCATGCACACCTGGTAAGCGCACGGAGCCCAACGGTGTACCCACCGCTCTTAAGGAGGCTTCTAGGAAGCAACAATTAATGAGAGAACTGACGGGGCTCGAGCGTGAGAACGGCTGCCGACAGAAGTCGGCCGACGGAGGCAGCACGGCCTGGCATGGGAGAGAGTGTCACACGCGGAGAACCTATCCCTTTGCATGTTTTATTTGGTAACGTGGTTTTTACAAATGTAGTGCCCTTTATGAAAGTGTTTCTGTGATTGGTTGTGATGATGCGAGTCCCAACATGTGATTGGTTTTTGTGAAGACTCTTGTTCAACCAAGGGTTGAAAAGAGGATGTTTGAATTTGAAAGGTGAGCGGAGGTTCGGGCTTGGACTCGGGCAGTAGCCTGAGGCTGCAATAAAGCGTCTCTTCACAGGACTACGGCTCTTCCTTCGCGCTGCCACCGTGCACTCGAGTCATCGAGGGGACCCATCCCGAACCTCAAACATCTTCCCTCCTAGGCTAGTGTAGAAGCTAGTCGAGGAGGAGGAAAGTAACTGGGATCTTGGCTGATGTTGGCGTGGAGTGGGTGGGCTCTGGCATGTGGACGGGTACTTTTCGATCTCCGCTGGCCGTTCACCATTTCGAGGGCATGGTGTGTACAACGGAAAGCCCCTTAATCCTGCCTGTCGGTAAGGGCAGAACCTATACAGGTGACTTGCTTCCCCGCAATGGAAACACAAAGGCCTACGCTCATGGTCATGCCATATGTCACTTTTCTAGGGCCTTTGATCCCCGTAGCGAGCTACATTACAGACTCGTGGCAGGTAGCTAGACATCGGTTCCAGTGGACGAGGGGTGCTTCGTACCAACTGTGGGTAAGGAGCGGCCATCGCAACTGCTGCATTGCTGTGCGCCGTGGGTTGTCTGAGTATTTCAGAGTACGTTGAGATGCGTTGGATCTGCTGTGGCTCACGCTCCGGCTCGCGCATTATCTGCCTCAGTTCATCTCGTACTACATTGACGACAGACAGTGTTGCTGTAGTGTGGGGTGCTTGCAACTTGCTGAGCTATTCCCTGATCACCGATCTGATGAGTTCTCACAGAGATTCCATGTCACTTTGCTGGCCTCCAAAGAAGACATTAGCAGGTGCGTAGTTTACGCCCCGATTGTACTTTCGAGCCCGCTGTTCTGGCGTTTTCTCAATGGCTGTCGCTTCCGTATGAAACTCCACAACTGTTCGTGGTGGGTTGCAGACGAGAACAGCGAATAGCTCTTGCTTCACCCCACGCATGGAGTGGCGCAGCTTCTTATCTTCAGCCATATGGGAATCTGCGCGCTTGAACAGGAGGATCACGTCCTCGATGTACATTGCGACACTTTCGTTGGTGAGTTGGTTTTTGGATTCAAGTGCAGCCTGCACCTTTTCTTTGCGATGTGTGCTGGCATAAGTAGCCAGAACTTGTCGCCGAAATTCATCCCAGGAGGTGGTTTCATGGTTCTCATACCACGTCTTTGCAAAGTCCTCCAAAGCAAAGTATACGTGGCGGAGCTTCTCTCTTTTGTCCCAACCGTTCAAACTTGCCACTCGCTTAAAGAGGTTCAGCCGATCTTCTACATCTTCATACAAGTCGCCATGAAATACTGGCGGCTGGTGAGGCTGATTGATCACCTGGCTTGTCGCCAGTGGTGTTACCTGGCTTGTCATGGTGGTGGCGTCCTTTGATTGAGTTCCCCTTGGCGTGAAGTGGAGTGGACTGAATTCTGGTGAGTCACCTCGAAAAGGGCGACTGGTCCTCTGATGCACAGGTGTCAGCTCCACAGGATCAACTTGCTGGTGGTCGGGGCTACGCTGTCTTGCGTTCGTAGGGCTTCGATTGATTACCCAGAACGTCCACCAGAAATGTAGCAATGTTGAAGGACTCGGGGGTATAATAAAATATATTTATGAAAAGGGTGAACCTGTGCCCACAACTCAAGGTGACTATGGTCGTAGAACGTCTCAGTCGAACACCACAGATGTCCTTTCGCTGCCTTCTTCCTTTCCCAGAGAAGCCCCGAGCACGTGGCGCACATCAGCCGGGTCCAGCTGGATGCTCGTGCCATCATCGTCTCAGCGCAACACAAGGCGGCGCGCATGTGTGTCCCTGTGCGCGCGGTGATGGGCGCGTTGTTTGAATGCAGGCAAGATGTCGCGGCAATATATACATATATATATATATATATATATATATACACACACACACACACACACACGTGCGTATTCAACCAGCACCAACTCATGGGGGCTGAAACTTGGAAGATAACAAAGTGAGCTAGCATAAAACTGAGAATGACACAAGATGCACTAGACCCATGTGATACTAAGTATAATTTCATGACACATATATCGCAATACACATAACTTGGACAGCATAATTGATAGCTGAGACAATAGGTAGTAGAAGAGTTAGGCAAGTTATGCGGTGCACGGAGCAGATAAACAGTTTAAGGTCTATGCAGTTTAAGCAAGGCAAAGCAGAGAATGAGATCAACAATACGAAAAAAAGTCACTAGGAAAGAAACCATGAAGTGATTATGAAACACTTTAGTGGAGGGATTAAAGGTTAACTTAGAACACCTGGGGTATCGTGATATATCGTGATATACAAACATGGTTTGAAAAGTAAAACCAATTTTCTGACACTGTGTCAGCTCAAAGAGTCACCCGCAACACCTTACAACATAAGGAAAAGAGACACATGGCAAATACCGTTTTCGCAAACGAATTACGGCCTTAAAAGTCTTGAGCATATCATGCCAAACTTTTTTAATCACCTAAACAACAAAGGCATTATGCCTGATACGCTGACAAACAAGCAGCGGAAAGAATATTTAATTAGCAACCCTAGAGAGTCTGGGAATGTGATCAATTAATCTCGAGTTCATTTTCACTATGTATTATTTTATAGTATCATATTCAATTTGATAATTTGTTTGAATAGAAGTGCATTTTTGCCTTTTCATATGCACATGTACAAACATGAACTGTTTCATGTATTTGTGTTTTCGTTATGCTTACTGTTTCAAGGTAGTGTTTCTTATATATATAAATTATGTTCTTTTGTATTTCCTTCTCACTTTGCTCTCCCATATTATGCCGCACTCTTTCAGTGTTTGCGATTTTACATTATGTCTGCAGCTGAAGTTTGCTGCTAAATTTGTTGATATTTTACTTGCTTGTATATTATTTCTTTTTTTTTTTTCATCACCACGTGTCTGCGACCAATCTGCTCAGGGTCAGGAAACCCGTCAAGCTGCTTTTTAGCAGCTTTTAATTCCTGTTTTTGCATATTTTTCACTTTTTAATCTGATTTACATTTTGCTTTGTGTTGACCATTGCCTTTGTACGAAAACATTGAATCACTGTACTTTAACATGATTGCTGAAAAAGATTGCTAAATAAACTGAAACTGAAACAGAATATGCACCTTAATTAAAGTACACAAGTGTTTTTTCGAAATGTGGCCACCGCAGCCAGAAATCAAACGTGTGTTCCTGAAAGAAATGCCCAAATCAAATCCCACTACCACCTAATCTTTATTGTAATAGAAAGGTGCCCTAAAATAAAGTAGTGCAAGTTATACACACTGAAGACAATACTTCATGATTGGTGTCTGAAATAGACATATTAGGCACAATTCAACCTAACAAGAAGAAAGACTACCATACTCACCAAGTAAGTGTATCGGTTCCTTCGCTTGGCAAAGCACATAACCATAAGTCCAGTCAAAATTAGCTAGAAAAAGGAAAATCGTACTTAGGCAGACACAATGTAAACAGAAAAGCACCTACAGCAGCACACTTCGCTAGTTGCTCCTTTGTTTAGTAAAAATCCATACACACAGCACAACACCAAATCAAAAATATCTAACAGCCCCAATATTAATGAGAACTAAAAGACAATAAAGTCAGGGATGTTGTTGGAAGTAAGGTAAATGCGAATGAACAAAAGTGGGAGGAAAGATAACTTGCCGCCAGCAAGAACCGAGCCTGTGACCTTCGAATGACACATCTGATGCTATGGCGGCAGTCATCTCTCTATCGACTTTATAGGATGTACATTTAAGCATGGGAGTGCCAGTGAGCTGCCATTACGGCAAGTGTGGAATGCTTTTTTTGCCTGTTGGTGAGCACACTTCTTTCCACCATTCATTTCATTCTGGCAGGCTTGGTGAATTCAGGTAGTATGCGAAAAATTAATGGTCAGCTGCCGGCTCGTGATAAGATCAATGATGCCAACAGGCAAAAAAAAGTGTTTCACGCTTGCTGTAATGGCTACTGGCAGCGCTGACTGACGCTCCCACGTTTAAATGCACACCCTATAAAGTGGAGGGAGGGATGAGCACTGCCGTAGCTCAGTTGGTGTAGCATTGAACGCGCTATTCGTTGTTTGGAAGCTCGCAGGTTCGGTCCCTAAGTTATCTTTTCTTTCTTCACATTCAGATTACAATTACTTCCAATAACATCGCCTACACTTTCCTCGGCATCACTGTTGGTTAGTTCTCAGTAATAGTGTATCTAACAAAGAAAACCAGCCCCTACATTTACACTTCTTTCCTTCACTAATAGCACCAAGTAATTTTACTTAATGCCCTGAGCCTCACCACCCAGCATGGAATGGAATATAAAAACTATATTTTCATCACCAAGCATCTAAGCTTTTGATCGATTCTTGGTTTTTAGATGTTCATACCAGGATAGAATCATGCAGCGCGCAGCACTTGTCCTCCCTCTTTTGTAAAGTGTAGTCTTTATGCACTGAATTGTACACCATGAAGATAAGCCAATTTGCCCACTTTTGTATGCTGCTGCAAATCATTTCTGGTGAGAATTAATTTTGAGCACCTTGACACGCAAACAAGCTGATGTGAGACAGCAAGTAATCTCGCAGTTCTGTGCTACATGTTGAGCTTGTCGTGACGCGTTTTTGTACGTGGCTCCTAGGCGCGCATGCACCACGAATGTATTGATGCCGTAGCTCAGTTTAATAAAGTCATTTTCGTCATATAATCTTTTCTATGCTCATGATGTCCTTACATTTGGCGCAGTCGTCGAAGAACCATGCGGCGGAAGCCCGAGCCACTCGTTTATTTTGCGCTAGTTGGTGGTTGTTACCAGCGGCTCGCATCTCTGCTATTTGCCTGCGTTAAACCATTTTTGAGCTTGCCCGCCCGTCCATCGACCACAATGCCGCTGATAAACTGAAATGAGACCACTGTGGAAGACCTCCACGGGTTCACAGCGTATTTACATGCCATGAACTTTCGCCTCGTAACCTGGAGACGACTGGCTCGAAGGAAGACATGATCGAACGCTTGTTTCATGACATCGTCCGGAACCGTCAACCGTCTCGTGAGCCCGACTCGACAGCTGCACAGTCAGTTTTAAGCATGCAAAAGCTGAGTAACCTATGGCAGCAGTTTTTGACGTCACAACGGCCGACGTTTTCAGCCCAAATCACTACGTTGCCCAGTCTTTCGGCCTCGCTACCAACTTCTAGTCGTGACGGTAGCATTTCAGCTCATCAATGTCTTGAAGAACTCGAGCGTACTCAAGGCTTAGCATCATGGACACCATCTACTCTCCTAGCCGTAGCGCTTGGTAAGCTCCATGGCACTGCAGCAGATTGAAAAAGCGTGCTAAAACCAGTTGGACACGTGGGAGAATTTAAAGCTGCGTTTGAAAACCAGTTTAGAGACAAACTTATGCTTTTGCAGTGGCAGAACAGAGTAACCAGACGCATCCAGTACTCAGTGAGAGCCTCGTTGACTACTCTTTGGTGAAACTGCGCGTAATTTATAGATGTCTGGTTCAACTGACAGATCCTCAGCGCATTGAATATGCCCTACAGGGCGTGTGCGACGCACAAATGGCAACAACTATCGCTGCACAGCGGCCACCAACTGCGAGCGCATTTCTTGCCATCGCCACCCAACTCGACCGAACTATAAAGCATGCTTCTGTTTTTCCAAGTCAGTCGCCCATTGCAACCAAGTCATCAATGTTACGAGTGCCTCCCTTGCCTGTGCTCCAGATTGGTTCTAGGAATGACATAGCTTCTTCACAAATCAATCCAACTGCTACATCAGCACCACATTGAATTTTGTCGTTACCCCTAGATCAACAAGATACTCGTTACCTTGCAATTAGTTCCCGAAGTGGCACCGTGGGGCCTATTTCGGCAGTACTTCAGTTCTAGCTAGAAATCCCTCGCCTTTAATCCTCGGAGAGGACTGGTTTGAGGCCGCCCGCGCTGAGCTCCTTGTCCGACCGCCTCATCCAACAGAAATTCACCATCCCGGCAGGGATATTGTCATGCGATGCCTATAAAAGGTGCTACCACGGATGTCCAGTGCATTGTGCTGTCAAGTAGTTCTGTGGCTCCCTTTAAACAAACTGTGTCTCCCACAGGCTGCTTGCAGTTTTCGCCAATGCCAGACAACAACCACCTCATATGGTTATCCCTCAAACACAATGAACATTTGCCTAGAAAGCAGCTACTTCAACCAAAGGCAGAAACACTTTGCACAAATGATGCTACGTTGGACAAGCTACGTGATGCTCACATAGGTCCACAGCTGCAAGAAGTTATGGCAGTTTAACACGTCTTGCGTCAGTATGTTGACCTCTTCGCCACTGATGACAACAATTTGGGCCTATACAAAGGGACAGAACACGCCATCCAGCTTGTGCTGGATTTCATCGCCATATGCCCGTCAACCTTTCCGATACAGCAAAGAGGATTGAGTCTTCATTGAGCGCCAATGCCAAGAGCTTCTCGAAAAAGGTATTATTAAGCCATCTTCCAGCCCATGGGCCTTTCCAGTTGTCGTTGTTTCACAGCCTACAAAAAAGTGATTCTGTGTAAACTATATACCACTTAACAAACAAACCATTAGTGTTGCACAGCCACTTCCGCGTGCGGATGATATTCATGGATTACATTTCCAGTTGCTCCCTGTTTGCATGTCTCAATTTGGAATTTGCTTATTGGCTAATTGGGTACAAGATCAACCCAAAATATCCCTCATCATGCATCGTGGCACATTTCACTGGACGCATATGCCCTGTGAACTCAAGAATGCTCCTGCTACATTTCAAAAGGCTATGCACACCTGTATTCGAGAGCCTGCAGCCTCGTCACCCAAAACGTGGAGTTTGAGTTTATTTAGACGGCATTCTTCTCTTTACCACAACTTTTCTTGAATTCATCGACTTGTAGATGAAGTACTTACAATCTTGCAGAACGGTGGTTTCAAAGTTTCGCTTCAGTAAGTGCCAATTCGCTGTTACATCCCTAACATTTCTCGGTTTTGTCATTTTGAAAGACGGACAACATCCAAACCCAACAAAGGTAGAAAGCATTTTGAAGATGCTGTGCATACTACTTCCAAGGCAGTGCTGTCGTAGATTCAAACTGCAAACTTTTACCAACGCTTCATCCCCAATTTCACCAAGGTGGTTGCTCCTCTTCAACACATGTAAGAACGGGAGCTTTTCAGTGGTCTTCGGAATGGGAGTCAGCCTTTTATGCCATCCGCAAAGCCCTCACTTCCACACCTATTTTGGCCGTTTTCATCCCTCTGTCCAAACAACTGTGACCATAGACGCTTCTGCCTCAAGCCCTTGGAGCAGTACTCTCACAGTCTCAAGATGGCAAAGATGTCGTGATCGAGTATGCCAGCAGAGGACTGACCCCCTCTGAAAAAAAAAAAAACTGCATAGCAATGTAGGAGAGTGTCTTGCAGTACATTGGGCCATTTGTCACAAATTTCACAGTTATCTCTTCAACCAAAAATTCTGTCTTCTCACAGACAACTGGACCATAGCATGCCTCGTCTCAGAAATGAAATCGTCATGGCGCTTTACCGGCATGTTGATGGACCTTGTTGAGTTAGAATTCACTGTGCAACACAAGCCTTGTAAGTACAATGTGATTGCTGATATGCTATCACGTCTTTCTTGTGGTGTCTTTCGAACCCATGGCCACACTTTGCCACTTTCAAGAACAAGATGAAGAGCTGTTCTGACATACGCCAACGTCTACTAGATAATAATGGTGCACCTCGATATTTTGTCATCATTGACAACATACTGTACCATCGCAGGTCTCCCAGCCTGAAGACTATTGTTATTACCACTTAAGTTACGCCAAGCAGTCCTCGAAGTGGCACATGATATAGTGGTCATATGGATTCCAAGTGTACGCTGAATAATGTGCAAGAACGCTACTGGTGGCCCAAGATGACGTCTCTGATAAAACAGTAGGTTCAAAGATGTCAGACATGTCAGATTAATTATCGGCCAGTGAACAAGAATGTTGGTAAAATGGGATTTATGCCAACACTGGAGGTTCCGTTCTCTGTTGTTGCTCTGGACCACGTGACGATGCCCTGCACCGACAGCAGCAGATACATACTTAATGTTATAAACTTTACCACACGCTTTATAATTCCTGCTGCGGTTTCCACTACTTCCACGAGAGAATTAATCCAACATTTGCATGCCGTGTTTTACTGCTGTGGTGATCCAGACCACTGCTTGTCAGACGATGGTCGTGCTTTTGAGTCAAAAGAATTCAAGCGCTTTCTTAATCTTCATGGAATTCACCATAATTTTTCCATTCACTTATCGCGCAGCAAGTAATGGGCTGGTAGAAAGAAGCAATGCTACCCTTGTCTCAGTACTTAGGAAGATGTGCCACTCTGATCTGTTACTTTGGCCGCATTTGCCGTGAACATAAGTCTGAACACCAGTTTACAGTTTTCATCCATTTGAACTGCTCCATGGCTATGTTCCAAAGCTACCAAGAGAAACGTTTCGCTGTCCTAGAGATGAGACCCTCGAAGCAAGACTTTTGGACCTTGCAAAGACTCGCGCTGAAGCACAAGAAAACATTGTATGAGCACAACAAAGTCACAAGCATATCTATGACAAATCCCATCAAGACAAGACATTTCTTGGGTGTCAGTATGTCTGGCTCCTATGTCAAGAGCCCATCACCAATGGTACAACAAAGCTCGCACCGACATTTAAAGGCCCGTACAAGATTACAGAAAAGAAAACACCTGTCACTTTTGTGATCCGCCGTGTCAATCCTGATATGAAAAATTCTCCGGCAGCCGACGTAAAGCTGGCCCATGTCAGCCGACTGAAGCAGTTCCATCAGCCATACATTGATTCAGCACTTCTTCAAGCCCAGACTTTCCAGCCTAACACTTCGATGGCTAATATTTCTGACGGATCACAAGCCGAGACAGTTTTTGACAATGCTTCTGGAGGTGATGATTCTTCGGGACTGTCAACTCAGCTATCTACTTCTATTTCCAGGGACAATACATACGACGAGTCACGCTATCATGACCACCTTCGGTGTATCGTTCAGCCGCCCGGTGGCTCCTAGACTATGACACATAAAAAAAAAATGGGTGGGGTGATGTCAGAAGCCCATCGAGCATTTAAAAAAAGAGGGGTCGGATGTGAGACAGCAAGTAATCCGGCAGCCTTGTGCTACATGCTGAGCTTGTCGTGATGCGTTTTCGTATGTGGTTCCTAGGCACGTGTGCACCATGAATGTATTGATGACGTAACTCAGTTTATTAAAGTAGTTTTTGCCATATCATCGCCTTTTCTACATGTCGCAGAGTCTTCACACCGAAGTAAACTGATGCTCTTTCAATTCAGGCCTGACACAGCCAGGATCAAAACCAAACTAAATCGCTAAGCTTAGCATTGCAACACTTCACTTGAATGGTCATTGACCACAGCGAATTTACCACTCCTACCCATCTATTCATGCAATATTTTGTAAAGAGTCTTCCCTACACTAGACATAACTGGCTTAACATGGTGCAAAAGCACAGGTAGTATACAGTAGACTCTCGGTAAATGGAAATCTGTTAAATGGAACTGCCGCTTTAACTAAACTAACGACTTCCTCCAGCCCGATTGGTTTCATGCTTGGATTCTCCGCCCTTGTTCATCTCTCCATGAACAAGACACATTTGCTTGGTCCCTTCATGTTCTGTTCAACAAAAGTCTATAGTACATTTTCAGAAAAAGTGAAAGACAAAATTACACCAACCCGCTCATTTATTCTATGGTGCAGCACGCTAAGCTAAGCACAGCTGTGATAAATGACCAGCTGGAAAAGCCTTTACTTGCACATACTGAAAGGGATGGTCTAACACTCTGAAGATTTTTTGTGATTGTAGCAAAAATGAGAAAATCATTGATCACATCAGCAGCAATGAGCATGCTTTTGACCCATAAAAGAGGAATTATAATTTTAATTTAATGTGCAAAGTCTACAAAAAATAACCACTAGTGTCAATCTACTGGTAGCACAAGAAATCCTCATGAGTAGACTTACATTGCTTAAAAACAAACATGTGTACCTTGAAACTATACTTTATACACTTGACGCAGATTGAGGCTGCACCAGAAAGTATTTATTGCCTTTTTTTCTCACGCATTCAAAAAGGTGCCCGGTGTGGGGGCGCATTTGCATGCACGCTTAGGGCATAGACACGCGAACACTGCATCTAGCGCAGTTCGTAAGAAAGAAACAAACAAAAAAGTGTTGGGCAAATAGCAGCACGGGAATTAGGCCCGTGAATCCAACATAGTTTAGTCACGATGTGCGAGTCCTCATGCGTAAACTACGCATTCGCTTAGGTTGAAGAAGATTGTGCATCACATTGTTTCTCCAAGACGTTCATGCTGGCTACAAAAAGATAGCAGGACCTTCTCTTCTTTAATGAAGCAGCAGCACAAGTGGAACCACTACAGTTTACAATGCTCGCACGCCAATGTTGCCAGACAGACCAACTCTTCCGCTCAACTGCGGTGGTTTTTTTAGGCTGACTAGACAAAGCTGGAGAAACCATGGTAATACTTTATTTGACAATTTGGATGCTGTAAATGACCACAATGGTATTTTTTTCTTTATAAAACAAACCTCGATGAAGCCTGAAAAAGCTGCACAGGGTTTCAGTTTTCTAGTTTCACCGACACTATAATCGCCATCACGTTCACCAACCAGAGTTGTGGACATTCATCAAACTAATGGAAGAAGACTGAATGCAAGTAAAAAAAATTCTGTTCTTAAAATTTCTGGCCCCTTTCCAGAGAAACTGTTCCAAGGTTGCAGACAGAATGCTTTTTATTGTTATACAAAACAGAAAAGCCATGAAGGTCTCTAAGCCAATCACTGAGGCACTAAAAGATAACACCAAATAAGCATGCTGTAAATTTTTCCATCCCGCCAACCTAACAATTGGTTCATAAATAAAGTCAGCATTTATTTATTTCTTTTTCACTATTCAGTCTTCTGGCCCTTTTTGTGAATAAAGCAGTCCTTATACGACAATGAAGAATCCAAGCAATGTCAAAATCAATGGCATCACATGTGGGAGCTTCCAGCTCATCAAGGAACAAACTGTTTGTGCTTACCACCGCGGCAGGTACGTAGGTGGGTATGGTTTCGAAAAACTGCAGTGACGACGTGTAAGACTTTAGGGTGAAGTAAATGGCGATGAAGAGCACCCCAACAAAGACAGCAGATCCACCGCATACCAGGCAGAGGATGACATACTTGCGCAGCCATATCAACCACAGGGATGACCTTGCATCAGCTGCAAGTAAATCAAGGCTCAAACTAAACGCAGCAAAGAGCTCTCTTTCAACATGAAGGCGAAAAGCTTAGCCCAACATTACCTAGTCCTAATACGATTCAGGTAAGCATGGTATGTTTTTAATTGAATAGCCTTCTTCGATATATTTCATCCACATTACAGTTTTATACAACTATATTGCCAATGTGATTGCCAATCTTTCTGCTGCTTCCACATTTTGAATCCTACCCGCCATGGTGGAGCAGTAATCCGTGCCACGGTGGCCAATTTCAATAGAGGCGAAATAATGCTAGAGGCATGTGTACTGAGCAAGAAAATCAAACGGTCGAAATTTTCGGGGTGCTCCACCATGGCTTCTCTCATTCATGATCATATCATGGTTTTGAGACATCAAACCCCAGATATCATTATTACCATATTTAATCAAATCTTGGCTGATGTTTTTTTTTATATTTGTGCATCAAACTCCAGGATCGGCTTATACCCCTGTCACACATGGCAACCTAAGTGCACTTTGAGCAAGTGCACTTCGCTGCGAGTGTCATTTGTGCGCTGTCACACGAAAAAGTTTACTCGCTGCAAAGTACACTTGCCGGCGAGTGCTTTCCCCAACCTTGCCTCACTGCAACGAAGTGTGTAGCCTCGATACCTGTGGCTTCCACAGACATACGATGCTGCCTAAAGTGGCGCTCATACTATTTTCAAACCATTGTTTTGGTTATAATAAATACTGCTGTGTATTAAATCAAGTCATAATACAACAAAAGACCTCACTACTCTTACCCTCGGGCAGTTTGCGGCCACATCCGTCTGGGAGATGCGGCAGCACATGCTGTGCAATGGCTGCATATCTCGCGTTGTTGACTTCCTTGCACACTTACACAAGTATACATGAGTCGTTCTCTAGTCATTTGCGATGGTGTCTGCCACTGGCACTACTACCATGAAGACAACGTGGTCCGGTAATGAGACACGGGTTCGAAAACAACCAATATATGTTGCCCTACAATTCCACCAAGTGCCACTGCCATCAATTTTAAAGTACACTTCGTTTTCTCGAAACGCCAATATGACACTTTATGAGTGGAAGTACACTCACTCAAAGTGCACTTAAGTTGCCACGTGTGACAGGGGTATTAGATTCGAGGATTTTAAAGTGCCATTTTTCTTTCAGAAAAGTGGTGCACCGCTAGTGCCACCTAGCTGTGCACCAAGAAACGAGGGCACAAGAAACGAGCTCTCGTGACATTTAATTGGCAGACTCACCAATTCACTGTCACAAATTTATCTCGGAAGCGCTTGCAAAGGATGGAACTGAGAGAGACACAGGAGACGGGTGTGGCGAACTAACACACTTTATCACCCAAAAAATAATAAAAGGCAAAAAATCAAAAGCGAAAACAAATACTCGCAAGTACACAAAATTACTCCAGTAACAGCCTGTACATAATCAAACCAAAACTAGCTGTAGCCCAGTTTAAATCCATTCCAAACCCTAGCCCCTACTTCTAAGCGAATATGGCATCTCAATAATGGAACATTTACAGTTTGTCGCATTGCCACGTTGACTCATTGCCCTTTGCTGTGTCGATGCTTAGTCAAGTCCTCTGTCAACGTTCTCTGGGAGTTTCTACCACTGAGGTCCTTTTCCGCCGACCAAGCCAGTTGCCCTCGTCTCCAGTGTCCCGATCCTTATCTTCGGCTTTGCTGGGCTACTCTTAGCTCGTCATAGACTCCGTTGCTGACTGGCCCACTCTGCTGACTTGTGTGGACTTTTCCCATCCTAGCGCTAAGTGGGATAGCTGCAAGTCTACCAGGAATTGCTGGGCAAGGATTCAGCAAGTCCGGGCAGCCTCACTCCGGAGCACCTCCGAGGTCGACGGCCAATTCCCGGGCTTCTCACTCCGACAGCCTTCAAAACCGGGTAGCTATGCTTCTCCTGTTGCTGTAGTGAAGCTGGTTTCGGACGTCTTCCAAGCTCTGAGCCGCACAGCACAGTGACAGCTCACACTTCGGGATTTTCTATTACGGCTCGGGTCGCGTGCCACGAGACTTTGTCCGGCCAATCTAGTACAAGAACGTGGTGCGTCTACGCAACAACGAGAGTGTTGCGGACACGTTCCAGCGCCTGGCACATGCCTCACGCCCTCTTAATTATTACAAACAGAACACTGGTAAAGGGGCGTGTTGGAGTGATTTTCATGCTGTCGGATCACTAAATCCAAAGTAAACGTTGAGAGCACAGCGAGTTTACGAGCAGTCTCTTGATGCCTCAAGACAGCATATGCAAGCAACTATGGACAGCATATGCAAGCAACTATGGGTTTTGGGCTACACAGCCTCCTCCCCCCACCCACCTACAGAGTGAAGCAATGAATGCGATACTGTGATTATTTTTTAGCCTAGAAAGCTGAGGGTGTGTGTGTGTGTGTGTGTAGCATGGTGCAGTTGATTCACAGTGAGCCTTACAACAGCAGGGCCATCAGCAATGAGCCTGCTTCTGACAGCTGTACGTAACAAAACTGAATTTTTAAAAAAAGCAAGTGAGCAATTCAAATCGGCACACTCACTACAGGGATCTAAGAGGCGAGCCTTTTATGGAGTGTTTACAGCAAGAGTGATTACAAACCAGGATTTGCTGGTGGAAAGAATTACGAAAAAGCTCTTCAGGATAAAGATCAGTAGATAAAGTATATTTGAAAAAAGTGCCAACGCGTTCCTACCATTAACACACTCTTGTACGGACACAAAGCACGAAAATTCAATAATTTTCCTTATAGAGAGTTTTAGTTTAGCACACGCAAGGCGGTACGTGCACAACCGCTAGCGCGCTACATACGTTACAGCTGAGGCTGCTTCCGACAGTATTAGTTTAGCATACGCGACAACGGACACATGAACTGTGCTTAAACATCAACACCCTCTTGGAGTGCTACTTGGCACCACGTAGTGACTAAGCAATAAACTAGAATAGTCAACTATAGTTGACATGAGTCAAGACATGAGACATGCCAAGATTTCACGAGCAGGGCCGTCCGTCTGCCAACATTCCGGGCGTTGAAAGGCATTCCCGTCAGCTCCTGTATTTTCACAGCGATAACATTCCATTGCACAGGGTCTGCGAATGGATTAAAGCTCCTCACGTAAGCAAGGAGCTCCAAATTGAGGGCAATCGGAAAATGCACGCAGGATTTACTCACAGCTATGACCGCACAGCTGCTAGTGCTGCTGTTGGTCATGGCCATCTTGGTTTTCGTGCTCTCATCAGGGGGAGATCTCGCGTGAGCCACTGCTAAGGTGCCCAATGACTGTAGCATAAGCAACGTAAGAGCTGAGATCTAGTGTATGCATTCCTAGTGTGCGCAAACACATGCATCTCTCTTACGTACAGCGCATGCGCAGCCGTGCTCCCTCTGGGGCGATACGTGCGCTAAGTCGTTTCGCGCGCTAAACTAAAACTCTCTTATATCTGTTTCTATTCCATTCCCAGATTTCATTCCACAATGTCCAGAAATAGAAGTGACAGACATTCTGGAAGCATGTGCGTTATCAGTGAAAAATGCTTTAATTACATGCCGTGCAACTCTAGAGACGAACTATCAGCAGCATTTGTGGAACAGGCAACGTCCGCTGACAAATTGCCGCCAAACATATACACTATCGATTGACCTTCATGGGTCCCTATGGCAGCGGGTGTGCACAACAGATCACAGCATCGCAGATCATGTGAGACACACATGCGTGACTGCTGCAGCGGAATAATTCATGATTATGAGATTGATGGCCCCGAGAACAACTCAAATATGTTTTGATGAGCCAGCGTCGCAACTGCCAATAATGAGATGCTCCCTAACTCGAGATTTCGGTGAAGTTTGGCATTAATATTATCAGGATGATGCAGTAAATTAAATTACACTTTGCCGCAGCAGAGGAATCTCTGACAATTGTACCTGTTTGATCGTATCCGTAGCCTTAGGACTTCTATGCTATCTCGGCTGCCATCCACCAGTCTCATGACGGTGCGCACAATAAAGGGCACAAAAAACACGAAAGATAACGACAGCAGGACTGTTCACTTTTCGTGCCCTTTTTGTGCTTACCGTCATAAGTATGTTCCAAAGAAGGAAGCAGAAAAATGGAAATGGGTATGTTTGCCACATTGCCATCTACCAGATGCGTTATGTTCAGTTCCTACTTCTAAAAGCCCCAGTATCTTGGCCGTAGAGGTCCGATTTCAGAGGTGAACATTTCAGTCTGCCGACATAATTTTCCGCTTTGATACTTAACGTTTTTGGAGCATGGCTCACTTAAGTATTTATTCTAGTTGACCATCAGTGCCTCCTTTGTTTATAAATATAAATATGGTTAAAATACAGCCTGAAATTACACAAGTACTAATGTTTTAGCTTTTTACTTACCACTGTCATGCAAATCTATGGAATCATTTCTTATTTCCTCCCCTATATAATGGCCCTTGTCTTTATATTTAACGACCCTTGTCTCCTCTATATAATGCTAGGGCAGTTTCTAAGGGTACTGTCATGCATAATTGTTACCCATAATATAGAGTGCCACCCTTTATCATGGTCAAATTATTAGATGACAATTGTGAAAAGGTGGGAAGATTAGCATAGCGACATATAAAGATTACATAAAGATATGAACTAACAAAATAAAGAGACATAACAGGTGATAACACTACCCCTTTGGGTGCTCTTGCCCTACCCGTACGACAAATGTTTTCTGTCCTACAGTGTCTCTGCTGAACGGGTACGTTCTCGAACCTCCACTTGAAGTTTCGTGTTGTAAGAACAAAGCATGCTCACTAGGATGTGCTGCCACCTTCTAGGACTTACAGAAAGTGTTGGAGATGATTGTACGAGCTTCTTGTGAAGACAAACAGTACTAGTTTCTAGGGTCAACACATGGCACAGTTTTTGTTGACGCCAATGGGCAACACTGTTTCATGGTTTTGGTTTCGCCACGCGAACCCAACGAAGGGGTGTGAAACTTGATTTTTATCTTCATCAAATTTTTCTTGCAGGGGCATTGGAAGTTGATATCCGTCTTTATTGATTGATATGTGGGGTTTAACGTCCCAAAACCACTATATGATTATGAGAGACGCCGTAGTGGAGGGCTCCGGAAATTCAGACCACCTGGGGTTCTTTAACGTGCACCCAAATCTGAGCACACGGGCCTACAACATTTCCGCCTCCATCGGAAATGCAGCCGCCGCAGCAGGGTTTCGAACCCGCGCCCTGCGGGTCAGCAGCCGAGTACCTTAGCCACTAGACCACCGCGGCGGGGCAATATCCGTCTTTATTGACACTCTCCTTAATTACAGAGGTAACTCCGCGCAAGGCATGCAGAAAAGATGCCGCCTACGTGTTGACTGCGATAGGGCACAACCTCGTGTTTCAAGTTCTACTCACACCAAAATATTGTTCCTCCATTTTTTAACACTTTTGTTTTCTGGCTTCACACACTCAAAATACTGTAATGAAGTTTTTTTTTGTTTTTTTTTTAATCAATGCTCGAAGGGTCAAAGATTTGTTCAAAAGCACACATATATTTACCAGCCCTTGTCATATCCCAGCAATCCCACAGAAACTTCTCACAAATACTTCCATAAAGTCACTGGAATACGACAAGTGAATAAAGCAAATGTTGTTTTGAAGCAACATTTGTTTAAAGCCAGGCCCTGTTCAGGCTCTGCTTTCCTTAGATCCAAATGTTTTGGGCACTATCGACTGTCACAATTCAAGCTAATTGCTTACATTTGGAAAATGGCTGGTTTAAATAAATGTCTGAAAAACTTGTTGAACTCTCTTTCAATAATTCATGGAGTTTAACGTCCCAAAACCACGATATGATAATGAGAGATGCCTGACCACCCGGGGTTCTTTAACGTGTACTTCAATTCAAGTGCACCAGCCGCGAACATATTTATCTCATCAAAAATGTGGCCGCTGCAGCTGGGGTTTGATTCCGCGATCTGCAGTCGAGAACCACAAATCCACTGCAGTGGGTTACTCTTGCCAATTGCAGGGGGTGCACTTGACTGACCCCCTCCAAGCCACACCAGCGCTTGCCCACTCAACCTTCTGCCCCAACATGGTGCAACATGGGTTTGCACTGCCCCAGGACAAATTCTTGCCGATGCCTCTGTTGCAGCTCAAAAATGGTTAAAAAGGCACTTGCCGTGTCTGTGCATCGAAGAAACATTCAGTGAAGATGGCCCGTGGCGGCAGAAGAAAGGCTGCGCAAGGGCCCTTTCTGGAGGCGAGGTCTCCATGCTTAGCACACGGCAGGAACTACCAGCATCTGCACTGGGCCAGCTCTCTCTGCCCCCTGCTGAGAGCACAAACTGCTTCCGTTAGAAACTCGGTGTGATGTTCGTGTACCATGCATATGCGGGATTCGCCTGCCTCATTTACAGGCCTCCAACTAAAGCTCGGGTCACTGGACGTCCTTTTGAGAAGAGCGGACAGTCATATGAACAGTTTGCATAAAGTAAATTTAGCTGTTGTAGGTTTCACTACAAGATTACGTCGAAAATAGCCCCATCTGTGAAAAGCAAAAATTATCTAACAGAGAACTAGAGGGAAAAACATCTTTACGCCAATTTTTTCTTAAATGAAGCCTATTTTAAGGAATTAGCCGCTGATATTTTAAGGAATTAGCCGCTGACCATAAGTCCGCTGATATTTTATGAGCTGACCTGCGCACATAAAGTCAAGTCGATTTCATTGGACTGCTTTCAATTGAGTGGCTTATGTTTGATCTCAGGTGTTCCAAGCATAATTTGGTTGACGAATGAATTACTAGGTGAAGAGTGAGACTTCTCAGCTCAATTTATGTCTGTTCAAATTCCGATGTGCACAAAAAGTGGCATAATTTCATTTGAATGCAACATACATAGCAGACAACAATCACATCAATACAACAAAATTGCATTGGAATCAAGTAATTAAAACTTCTAAAAGAAGTCTGGTTTGGAGTGAAGTACAATATGAAAAATTATATCAAACTATAATAGCTCCTTTACAAGTAAATTATAGATGAAATTAACTAAATCAAGAAATATCAATGAATATTGCATATGCAGCACCTTCAACCAAAAAAATATGCCTGAGGAGGTTAATTTGTTACAACCACGTGACATAGACTTTCCAATTATGCTTAGTGCATTGTCACAGGATGAGTGTGAATTATTGGTTATGTAATAGACACTGTCTTTCTTAGGCAACATACTTAAAAACGCATGCTTGCAATCATACCTAAAACTGCCATACCTAGAGCACAAGAATAGACAGCAGAAACCAGTATATCCCTCTTAGCAACGGTGGCCATGTTTGTGTTTGGAACTTGTTTGTGATACTATGTTGACTAGTGGCTAAGGAAGGACATTGCATATTGAGCTTTAGATTAAACAAACCTTCTGCATAATCAGTGTGCTGTGGTTTAAAAGGATTCTGATGTGTATTCTTGCATATTAAGACTTTACTGAGAACACCCTTATGTTCGACATGCTGCTTTTCGGGATACATCAAGTATAATTTTCGTTGGCTTAAAATGAATATAATCGGTTACAAATAGCACAGGTATATCGAATCTGAGACTCGATCTTTTCATGCAGAAAAAAAAAAACACCAACCTTAGTTTAAATAGACATTTAATTACACTGTAAGACAAATTACTGGAAAGTAAGCAAATTGATGTATTACCATATTTTCTTTGATGCAATAGAACATAGAGTTCCTTGAAATAAAATTGTGCCAACATGACACATTTACCGACAGTTCGTCCGAGTTTAAGGGAATACTTTTGAGGAGCTTCTCAGTGCACACATCACAATCTACGACAAATTGCTTCCTTTTTAATCACACAAATATGTTTAAATTAAACTGTGTAGTATTTCCCTAATCAAGTTAAGATGTGAAGGGAAAAATTACTGCTATGGACAATAATTTTAGTGACACAGGAACGAAATTTCACCAATGCATTCTGCAAAATAAAAGAACCGACGTGAAGACCACAGACTGAAGTGTTATGCACCCCTTGTGTAATACTCTATCAAGGGGCCAAACAAGAATGAGCTCCGATTTTAGCATAGCCTTTGTCTTGAGAGAACAGTTTGTTGCACTAGTCTTTCGCATTGTTTCTTTGATAACCGGGAGGAGACAACGCATGCTTTGATAAGAAGCCTTGAATTATCTGTCCAAGTATATTTTGTTTGGCCCCTATATGATACATCACTGACATAAAATAAACAGCAAGAGTCCCAGGATATTTCCTTGGGGGTTTTCAGCAATGACAGCGTGACTGGTAGGGAATGAGCTTACTTAATGCTACACATCAGTACACTGGCACTGATATTGATGAATACATTTCGAGAGTCCAAAGCTCGGCTGGCGATCAGTGTTGTTTCAAGAGAAACATGGTACACCTATTACAGCTGATGGTAAACCTGCCTCTGCAAGCAGTTACAAATTGTCACTAACTTCAGGAACAAGAACAGGTGTGCCTGCATCTACACATCTTTTGAAAGGTCATAAACGGTACATGACGTTTAAAGGATAATTCTGTCCACATGATGAAAATGTATCTGGCATTATTATTATTTACATTGAACGTTAAGCACCACTTTATGATTAATACAAAGCATCACTAAACTGTTATATCAGCATAACCTTCAATTCCTTTCTTATCCGGCGTTTCCTACACTCACTTGACTGAAAAGTAGTAGGATTTTACAGCAATCACCAATATAGCCAATACCTTTTTTTCCGCTACATATCAGCGGAATTGCGCGATTTATCATGCAACAATATGCGCACATAAAGCTTTGCATAGAACTGTCTGCTCATAAAAGCGGTCGTGATGTTCAGTGAAGCTGAAACCGCAGGCTTGACAAAAATGTCACAAACGAACATGAAGCCCAAGTGCCGTCTACGATAGGTCAAGATTATTCGCGTTCATTTAGAACAGCACACACACGACTCTAACAGAAATTTTATGGTAGACCTGCATAAACAGCAAGCATCGAAAATAATTAAAGCTTGAAACTAAACTCTACGAAGGTTAGCTCCCGCAGAGTATTGGCGGGTGGAGCAAAAGTAAGTTGTTATTTTAAGCATCGAAAAGCTTGGAGACCATAGCAAAAATAAAGAAGCCTCAAAACAAGAGCGTTTGCCAAATTGTTCAACTTGTTTACCGGAGAACGCAGATACACACTCAAAACGTTTTTTTCACAATACTTTGAGTGAGCTAGCATGCTAATAAACGCTGTTCAATAATGCGAGAAGCTAAACAAACGATCATTGCAGACACACTTTGCTCTTTTTGTGAACTATGCGCACGGGTACTATGTATTTAATGGAGCAATCGCAAACGGCATTCATTATCTGGCAAAAAAAAAAAATGCGCAGAAACTGCTGATTTCTCCACAAAACACTAAACACTTACTAGCATCCGCAGAACGGTCCTCCTTCAGCTGCTTCGCGCAGTTATTTACAAAGACTGCTGTCCCTGAGGAGCCACGGGCTCACGTCAGCATTATAATAAAACATAACTGTAACCACTACGTAAGCTTCATCACGAAGTAAGATGCGAAATTTAGCCTATCAGCGATACCTGCGTAATTGCAAACAGCAGTTAGCCAGTAACCGCAGAACTACCATTCATAGAGTTAATGCTACCATTGGTGGGACCAGGATCGGCCATGAGCTTCCAAGTCTTTCAGGCTACAGTAGGCTTTTGTGGTGGCGCTACATTACAAAAAGTTTCGGTTTCGGGTTTTGTGCAGCTGTTGATGCATGAATGGTTATAAAATTGTTTATAAAATCTGTTCTATAAACGTGATTACAAACTCAATAGATAAAACTGAGCCGACGGCGAGATTGAGCGGAGTCATTATCTGGCGGTAACTGGCTGAAGTGCGCTTTCCGCAGCGGGCCAAGAGTGTACTAGAAGTGTAGAGTGGCGTGACCGTGCCTCACCAGCGCCTGATCCGTGGCCTGATCCTTTCCGCGTTGCCCGTAACGACAGCGCTGCAGTCGGTCGAATAGTACTAAAAGAGCCGCGCGCCGCGTGCAGGAACTGCTAAGCGTTTTCGGCTCCTCCGTCACGCTTTCTTGATGCAGATTTCTTCGCTTCTGCCCATCATTCATGTCCAGGACACGATGCCATAGCCCTTGAAGTATTGCACGCAATTCTACTGAACTTGAGCTCCATAAAAGCCTTTGTGAGAGATCGAAAATAATTCAGAAAGGGCGTGCGTGTCTTATACTGATTTCTTCTGTCTTAAACCTTTCTTGATTGGTTAGGCGTCTACAATATTCAGAATACCTGGGCCGATTTATCGAAGGTTAGCTGTGCTCAGAAAGCGGTGATATTTAAAAAAAATACCGTTTCAACTGCACGAAGAACCAGGAGGCCGTAAGTAAAGAGTGGAGAGGATTCGGGACTCTGAACCCCCTACATTACGAAATTTTTTCGTAACTTGACTTTTCAGAGTATAATAAAATATTTGCACGCATTCACAGTGACCACCAATCGCCAAAGTTAATTAGTCGTTCTGCTGCAACCCCAACCCCCTACTAAACAAAAAATTCTGGGTGCTATCCTTTCGTCGAACGTTTTCAGTTGGCGAAGCTGAATATAGCGTGTCTCTGTACAAATGCGCACTGTAAATTTCACTTTTTCGACAGTATGACGTCGTAAAACTAGTTCAAGTCTAACGTAGTCGGACGAGACACGCACCGCCTAAAACTAGTAGCTGTGCTAAGGGGCATTGCACGGATATTGTTAATGCGCCGCGGTGACGCGTGACTTAAATGCGTATTGATATTGTCACGGCTAAAGGCCGAGCAAGAAGACAGAGGACGATGAAATGATGAGCGTGGACAGTACCCACGGTTCCTCCGAGGAAGAAGTCGAAGCGGCTGCTCTTTTGTTCTGTTAATACAGACCTCGTTTTTTCTGGTCGCACCGTCGTCCTGTATTCTGTTATTTTCACCTAGAGACATTGGTGGAGGTGCTCGACTTCTCCAACTGATGCTTGGGACACCTCCGCGCCCTAGCACATCGAGTCCACCACCGCAATCCGTTCCTGCAGTGGATACTCCTGTCCATCGCTACAGTCGCCGACAGCGAGGCCTTAGTCCCGAGGCGATCCCGCTCGAACTTCTCCAGCAACACACCGTACCGGGAGAAATGGCTACCGGAGGGCCTTCACAGCTTACTGTTGATCAGCCTCTAATTCCTGAGACCTTCCACGGTGAGGTTTATGAAGACGTCAAGGACTGGTTAGCCCAGTATGAGCGAGTCGCCAAAGCCAACCGCTGGTCCACTGAACAAAAGCTATCGCGCGTCTACTTTGCTTTGGCAGACAGCGCTCGTACGTGGTACGAGAACCGCGAGTCAACGCTGTCTTCGTGGGAGGAATTTCGGCTGCAAATTCTCGGGATATTCGCAAACACCGACCGCCGTGATTCTGCTTTGCAGCTCATCGAGACACGCATACAGAAACCAAACGATCGAGAGCGTCGCCATGTTTGCGGAAGACATGACCCGCCTATTTCAGCGGGCCGACCCCGAGATGCTTGAAGGTAAAAAACTCCAACATTTGATGAGGGGCGTCAAGGAAGAGCTGTTTGCCGGTCTCCTACGCAACCCACCAACAAGCGTAGCCGAATTTGTCAAAGAGGCTACAACAATCGAGCGAGCACTGCAGCAACGGCGCCGATACTATGACCAACCAATCAAAACATCTCCCAGTCTCTCCGCTTTGAGTGCCGGTAGTGAGTGTTCTCTGCGCGAACTCATTCGTGAGGTCGTTCGGTAGGAGATCTGAAACCTCCTTGTGACACTGCAAGAGAATACCATGGCTTGCGTTGCAGAAGTTGTGCGGCAAGAACTCCGCCAGGCATTTTCGTTGCCCGAATCGCCCTCAGACCAGCGGTCTGTGAGCTACGCATCAGCTGTCCGTCGACACACTCCAGTGTCCTACAACTCGTCACCACTGGCTTATCGTGACGTGAGCCAAGGGCCCTTACAACGAGCCGTGGGTCCCAGCTCCCAATCCACCGCAGCCGTATCCACATTCCAACGTGCCTATGCAAACGGCGCCGATGTACACTCCGCCGACATCTGCATCTTGGTCACAAGGTATGCCCACCAGTCGACCATTCGTCCGTAAGACGGACTTGTGGCGCACCGTCGACCGTCGACCACTTTGCTTTCATTGCGGAGAAGTCGGCCATATTTTCCGCAATTGCCCGTACCGTGACCGTAGACATCATAACTTTCTACAAACCTCCCCTCGTGCCTATTTCGATAACCGCTGTGACAGCAGTGCAGGCCCGCAAGCACAGCAACCCGAAGTGCCGTATCGTCGACCCCGCTCTCCTTCACCTGCACCGAACTCGCCGCCGCAGCGCAGTTACTCCGAGGTGGTCCGGGGCAGATCTCCTAGCCCTCGTCGGGGAAACTAACAGCTGCGACCTTTGCGGGGAAGGTTGCCGCCCGTCGAGATGCTATCACACCCCCAACATCTTCTCTACGACGTGATACGACGAATGATACCACGGATCGTACGACGCACGATTGCAAGGACGATACGACGTCACCGACATCAACGGAAATCGAAAGCGCCAATCTAGACATTTGTATAGACGGACGCCCAATAACAGCACTGGTAGATACTGGTGCGGACTTCTCTATTATCAGCCGTAAACTCGCCGACTGCCTAAAGAAAGTAAGAACAATATGGACGGGCCCAAACATTAGAACCGCAGGGGGTCAATTGGTGACGCCGACAGGCAAATGTACAGCTCGAATTAATATCGGCAGTTCAGATTTCGTCGCTACTTTCGTAATTTTACCGGAGTGCTGCAAAGACCTGATCTTGGGCATGGACTTCTTGCGTGAATACGGTGCCATTATCAACATTCCTGAGAGATCAGTTACGTTTTGGATGGCCCCAGATCAAGTTTCGGATGTGCGCTGTACAGACCAGCGACGTCAGCCTTTGCGTGTCTTCGAAGACGACGTGACCATCCTACCGCGGTCGAGTGCACTAGTGGCTGTGACATGTGACACGTCGAGCGATTCTGAAAACATCGCCGAGCAAATTCCAACACTGCTATTGAGCCATGGTTTATCTATCGCAAGAGGCGTCGTAAGCATAAAATGCGGACACACGCACGTCCTTGTTACGAACTTCAGCTCTGAACGCCGACATCTAACGAGGGGCATGACAGTCGCGTACGTGGAAGAGCTCGCCGAGATGACAGACTGCCTAACTCTTCAAAAAGATAATTCAACTGATCTGACCCCTGCACCTCTATCTGTTGATATTGGCCCAAGTTTTCTGCCGGCGCAGAAGCAAAGTATCATGCAGCTTATTAACAAGTTTGAAGATTGTTTCTCTTCGATTTCCAGGGTCCATCAAACGCCGCTGACGAAACATCGAATTATAACGGACGACATGACCAGACCCATCAGGCAAAACCCGTACCGGGTAGCTCCGCGAGAACGTGAAGCCATCGAAGAGCAGGTGCGACAGATGCTTGAAGACGACGTTATTCAGCCGTCGAAAAGCCCTTGGGCTTCGCCGGTTGTATTAGTGAAGGAAAAAGACGGCACCTTACGTTTCTGCGTGGATTACCGCAAGCTGAATCAGGTGACAAAAAAAGACGTCTACCCACTTCCACGTATCGACGATTCACTCGATCTACTACGGCACGCGCGTTATTTCTCGTCGATGGATCTAAGGAGTGGGTATTGGCAGATAGAAGTCGATGAAAGAGACCGGGAGAAAACAGCTTTCGTGACACCTGATGGCCTTTTTGAATTTAAGGTACTTCCATTTGGCTTGTGCTCAGCACCGGCAACGTCTCAACGGCTGATGGACACCGTACTATCAGGCCTCAAGTGGCAGACATGCTTAGTGTACTTAGATGACGTCATCGTATTTTCTGCCACATTCGACGAACACGTCAGGCTACTGCACTCAGTATTTCAAGCTATCCGTTCCGCCGGACTAACACTTAAGCCGGAAAAATGCCATTTCGGCTTCGAAGAGCTTCTGTTCCTGGGGCATCTTGTCAGTAGTGAAGGTGTGCGGCCTGACCCTGAAAAAATAGCTGCCGTTACGAATTTTCCAGCGCCAACTGACAAAAAGGCGGTCAGATGGTTTTTAGGACTGTGTGCTTACTACCGACGCTTCATTGAGAACTTCTCGCGCATTGCCTCGCCGTTGACCCGCCTTACCACAGAAGACGTCGCATTCGTATGGAATGAAGAGCAGCAAAAATCATTCGACGAGCTGCGGCAACGCCTTCAGAAGCCACCAGTCCTCGCACACTTTGGTGATGACGCACCGACAACAGTGCACACCGACGCTAGCAATGTCGGCTTAGGAGCTGTACTCGTGCAGTGGCAGGATGGCGCCGAACGAGTAATTGCTTACCCGAGCAGAAATCTTTCACGTGCGGAAGAAAATTATTCCACTACGGAAAAAGAGTGTCTTGCGGTGGTGTGGGCGGTTATAAAATTCCGCCCGTACCTGTATGGTCGTCCTTTTAATGTTGTCAGCGACCATCACTCCCTCTGCTGGCTGACGAATTTAAGAGACCCTTTAGGGCGGTTGGCGCGCTGGAGCCTGAAGCTTCAAGAATTTGACATGACGGTGGTCTACAGATCGGGGAAGCGACATTCAGACGCTGATTGCCTTTCTCGTGCGCCATACGAACCTGCGACGGCAGAAGATGACGATACAGCCTTTGTCGGAGTTCTAAACACGGCAACTGTCACACAGCTGCAACGAGACGACCCCGAACTAGAACCCATAATACGTTTTTTAGAGGGTCGCACTTCAGCTGTACCTAGACTGTTTGCGAGAGGGCTTTC